GCTACTGAGTTATGGTTTTTCATCTATATTCATATGTTTAACAGCTTATTCAACATCGGTATGTACTTATTCTATGTGTAGGTATGGTATGACTAATTTATTGTTTTTTCACCCATATACACATTAAAGAATGCAACTTAAACTGTACACGTTAGTGTAAATAAGTCCATCGATTTAAGATTGAGATTTAGAAACGAACTTTCAAGGAAAAAGGAGAGCTAAGCGTATTTACCAAACGGACTTTGTTTAAGTTTAAGCAAAAAATTACGAAGTAAACTCAAATTTCCTTATTTATCGTAATCACGTACAAAACGTATCGTAATTTCTTGTTTAAAATTAGGCTAAGTTCGTTTTGTACGTGCGAAAAACTTGCTTAGCTCGCCACCTTTGATATGTTGAAGTCTATAAGTTCGTTTTATAAATCTCAATCTTATTATTTCATTTGACCTAAAGTTTATTTTTTAAAACTCAGTCTTAAAATGACGAAACAAAGTAAAGTCTGAGCAGCGGATTAGATGTATATTAACGTCTGTTTTTAGGTCGTTGTAGATGATACGTATAAGTCCATACGATACTTTTCGTTTTTCCTGTCACTTATAATTGATATATTGTTGCAATGTATTATGGGACAAGTGCTTATAGATCACGTGAGTTAATATTTTGATGCTGCCGTTTGATTTTGGTGATTTCAATTCTGTTATAATCGGTTTTTGTTTCTTTCAGAGTGAGGCATTTTCACAAAAAATATACTGTTCAAACTGGATGTACGCTTGTCCTTCCATTAAGAAAAATCTTCTTATGCTGATCATGAGAACTCAAAGGCCACTTAAGCTCACGGCTAAAGGGTATCTAACAATGGACTTAAATACTTTTTGCAATGTGAGTCACGGCTTAATTCATTTATACCTTGACTGTCAAATTTGAAAAGGTTGCTCTCGATCCAATCGTCATTCCATAGTTTGCAGGACGTAGATTTTTTGTTATAAAAAAAATAAGTGCGCTGATATCGACGACGGAGCATGAACACTCAAATAATGCCTATTCACTCTCTCCTTGAAAAGGCCCATGTTTAAAGTTGAGATTTATAAAACGAACTTTAACTTCTGCTAAGCATAAATGGCGAGCTAAGTAAGGTTTTCGTATTTACGAAACGAAATTTTCTTAGGTTTAAGCAAGAAATTATGAAGTTATATAATTCTTTATTGCACAAAGAAAAGACACATAAAACACACGTTACAAAGGACATATACAAAGCTGAGCTTATCTCTAGAAGAGATCTCTTCCAGCCAACTCTAGCGGTGGTGTAAAAGTGAAGTCTGCGGGACTAATTATTGCACAATAAAATTAAAAATTTAAATGTGACCTAAAAAAAAATTTTAATTATGGTAATATACTTGAACTTTATATACATAAATACATACATAAGCACAATATATATATTATAATAACAAATTTCTAGTTTGTATATAATGTTACCGATTAACTAATTAACGCGTTCGACAGGAAGTGCTCTTTTAATTTGTGTTTGAAAGATGCGACCGACGATGGACTGTCACGAATACCAGCAGGCACTTTATTCCATATACGAGTTGCACTGACCGTAAAAGAATTGTGGAAAAACTTGGAGTTGGATTGGGGATATAATAGTGTCCTAGTGTCACAGGTACGTTTTGGGCGGAAACTAGGGGCTAAGGGACAAAAACGGATACACAAATAATGAGGAAGCTGGAAGTAATGTAGGATTTTATAAAGAAGACAAAGAACGACATATCTCGGCGAAGTCGGATTGGGAGCCATCTCTGAGACATAGTCATATTTACGAAGTGAGCTCTAAGTGTAATTTAGTTTCTTGCTTTAACTTAGGCTAAGTTCGTTTTATAAATCTCAGCCATAGTGTTCAGGGAATAAGTAGGCAAGGAATTCCGCTCCATAGCCGTTCGATATATAAATGTGGAAACGAAAAGCTTCGTGGGAATCCTTGGAATAATAAAATTGAATACAAACTATGGAATGAGAACGCAAGCCTATGCCTTGGTCCAAAAAAGAGCGTATGGAGAATCATGATGGCTTGTTGCATTAACGATAACTTCGCAATAGCGAGTGCATCAATACAACAGTACAATCTTTGAAAATTAACCAAAAATTCATGGGAATTCCGAATCCCAAGTTTATAGCCAAGTAAAAAGTATTTGTATTATTCTCAACATAAAATATTTAATTTAGAATAACTTTCATGTATTTTTCAGGTTTGCAGGTCTTCGTACTCGTTTTTCAATTTACTTCGCACCGTTTACCATCCTTAAAAAACGCATCCAAATATTAAAAATAAATATTTTATGGCTATTTAGTTACCACATCAATAGTGCAGCTTAGATATAATTATGTAATCTTTACGTTTATTCCCGATTGTTTATCACATTTGTAGATAACTTATTGTTGCCATAAAATTTCAATAAAAGTAATAAAATATCAATTAAAAATTTTGCATTCTACAAAATTACCATACTGATTTATTATTGAAATTTTATTGTGTGGTAGTGCTAAACGAGCAACAACAATACCAGGGGATCTTCTCTCGATCTCCGTCTGACATCCATCCGAAACAGTTACTGTCAAATAAGTAATATTCGACAAAATTAAAATACAAGTATCAAGTATGAAGCTTCATTCGCATCACGCATCTTTCCATTTGGTCAAGTATTGCTTATTTGGCAGTAATTGTTTCGGACGGATGTCGGACGGAGATCGAGAGTAGACCCCCAGTCGTAAACTTTGACCGCAGCTAGTTACTCTCCCGACGTAGTCGAGTCGTCAAGATGTGTTGTCATGTTCCGAATCGTGTTCGGGAGAGGTTGTTCAAGATGATGGGTCTGAACAGTCGCATTGCGTCTGTTACAAATTTGCAGCAGTTTGTACTTCCACAATAAGGCTTGGTTCTGGAGGACAGCGGGATCGAAAGAACGGTGCACCGCTGGCCGTCCGTGGCAACTTGGAGGCTTAAAGACGCCCGTGAAAGACTGTCCCGGATCTCAACGAAAAATCCTGGAGTGCTAAATTTTGCTGGTTGACAAACGGAGTGGAGAACCTGGTGGCCGTTTCTGGGGGGATTCAAGCGTCCCCGCGGTCTCACAAACCAGTTGTGTCCCCACGTGACAGTGTGAGCTTGTTGCTTGGTCTGAACCGACATAACACCACGTTGAACTGCCGTAACAGAATAAAATGTCGCAAAAAAGGGAAATCTTTACATAGCGCTTGCATGACCGTCCACTAAACGTGCACCTCACCAATATTCGAGGGCTGAACTCAAATCACCATCAAGAGACTAATAAACCGCAGCTGCGGTTGCTAACTGAGTGCAGATCTAAAGTCCGGCTGACGCAGCGTGCAACATATGCCCCAGGTATACGTTCAGGATTACATCTAGCGTCTTGAGGACCTTGAGACTACGAGTTTTTGAGTTTTGTAATTTCTGGTTGACACAGGCGTTGCACGAGTTTACTTCTGTGCATACCGCTATCCGCTCGTCCGAACATCTGAGTAAGACGTCTTATGAGGCTCAACAACAGTATCCAGTGGCGCAACTAGGCATACTGGGGGACTTCAATGCTCAACATCAAGAATGATTGTTCCCATACCAGATGACCGACTGCACTGGGCTAAAAAAACGAAAACTTGTCGGATGTTGAGTTTCATGCAGCTGTCTGATTAGATCGTTTACTTATAGCGACCGATACACCGTAGTTACGAATGCTCCGTCGGGAACTTTCAACCATTGTCTGATGAAAGTTGTATCCGTATACTCCACGCCGTTGAAGATCCTAGTCCTAGTGATATTAAATGGGTATGGCGATGCAGAATAGATTGAGACAAACGCACCATTTTCTTGCAACATGTCTGGCAAACTTACTTTTCTTCAGGAGACTCGTCGAGCTGTGCTAATGTAGTAAAGGTCTTGTGTTTGGGTATGTAGTACTACAGGCCCTGCTTAATGGAATCCATCTGTGACTGTTATAGTACTGAAACACAGAAGCTGGCATCTTGAATTATACCACACAAACGGTTGACCAACATGATTTTGACTGAATTCGGTGTCGTCATCGACTCATCCGACATCGACACCTTTATCCATCTACATTTGTTATTGTACTGAGTGCGCTCGACATTTTTCCTTCAGTGCGGGAGGTATGACTTACAAAATTGTTCAAAAGAAATGTCACTTAGGCGTCAGAAAGATCCATATTAGATGATGAAAGCTCCAAATCGAATTTTCTTTTACTACATTTTTCAATAAACCTTTCGAGAACACGTGCGGGAAATTTGTGTTACCGAATATGGTATTGATTTCTACACAGAATCTTTGTAAGGAATAGAACATAAAAAAGGTGTAAAATAAATAATGTAGACATTTTTTATTAATTTACATCACACCATTTCGCTATGTACAAACACTCGCTACAATTTCAAATTTTCTGTACATTTTTATATAACTTAATTCCAAATTATTATAGTCATAATGTTAACTTAGTTAAGTAAGAAATTCAAAACAGATTATCAATTTCTGTTGTTATGTATTAATCAGTTATCACAGAGAAAGTTTAGGCAGGTACACATGGCATAAATACAATCTACATCCAACAGCAGAGGCACGAGTATGAAAAATAAGAAGTTAGATTTCTCTGTTGCCGGGTGTAAATCGAAATTTGTATGATGAAGGAAATGAGAATCATAGAAAACACACACAACTAATAAAAATAGCTTTCAATAAAGTTTTTTTTATTTACAATGTTTAAATATTATATACTCACTGTAAAGTATACCTACAAGAGTTAATAGTACTCTGGCTGACAGTACTTGTAAAGACGATAATGAATTTGCTTTAACTCTATGCTAAATTATTATTTTTTATATAAATTATCTTGTAAAAAGGTACATGGACATTAATAATTATTTGTACACGTCGTCATTCGCATTTTTTCGTTTTCTTCTAATTATTGTTTTTGCCTAATTCGCTTCTATCTTCTTAAGTAAAATGCGGGGTAGTAAAATCTCGTCGCTGCCGATCCTGAAATGAATATTATATTACATTATTATAATTATGTACACGCAATTTAATTAATTAAACATTGGTAAACAATTTCAATATAGAAAAATGAACAAATATCAACGATAAGCTACCGATATCCGACAACCAATGTCAATGTGAGAACACAAATATAGGTACTACATAGAGGAAAAAATGTTAACACGTCTAAAGTTATATATTACACAAAGGTTATTAAGATTTAATAATAAGCGCCAGCAATGCTAAAACAAAATTTGTAATTCTCAACATAAAAGGCTAACAAGAAATAAACGCCTAACAAAGCTTTTAATAATCCTTTTGTTTCAAATTTCAATTTCAAAGCAACATATTTTCAATATGAATGGAAATAATCGTTCAAGCTTTGCACGAGTGTTATTCATTGCTCACTCGAACGAGAAGAGCGCTTGTTAAATTAACTTTAGGGAACAGAATCCTGTGGCGGATTTCACGCTTGCTAGGACGGAAATGCACAAAGTTTCCTTTTGTGGCGTTTCTCATAACTTGATTTGTGACGGGGCCAACCCTTCAGCGTGTTCCGGTAAGGCGCCGCCTCGGCGAGACGCCTCGCTTCCGCCACATGCCTGGTCTGTCCGTGATATCTACTCACTGTGTATCTGTTTATACTTCGGGGTCATGCTTCCCTAGCACATTTTATTACAATCTATATAAAACCCCACACAACAAGTTTGTAATCAATAAACATGCAAGACCTATAGTATAAAATTAGCTAAGTAAATTCTATCAGGCGTTTTAGTCAATTTGAACGTCGAATATTTTTTCCATACAACACCATGTAACACGATTTTTATTTCTAGGTTATCAACATAATTTTGTAATTGATTCTAACATAAAAACATGAAAAAAATCTTTATTTCCCTACAAAAAGTTTGCTTTTGTGGTCAGGACTAGGAAAAGTTAAAATTTGCGTAGGTACGGAAAGAAAACGTGCAAATATTCGGATTTTTCTTAATTTAAACACAAGAAGAGGACATTTTATTTAAAATCTGTAGGATACATTCATGACAAGGAACCTAGAAATGTGTACAATTGGGAGATTATGTAAATACCACTATGTACACACGCCAGCACATAAAGTTACACATTGTCGTATATTGTTCCGTTGCACTGGAGGCGATTTTCGAACAAAAATGTTTAGTCTGATGTGCCGTTGCTCGTACATAACACAAGTAGCAGTAGAGCTCCTTGTGACGAATTCATCCAGGGAAGTACTACATCTTACCTATTTCTGCCGTCAAGCAGTAATGTAAGCATTACTGCATTCCGGTTTTGAAACTTAAGGGTGCTGGTGAAATTACAGGCACATTGGAATTGTCAACTTATATCTCAGGGCGCAGTGGGGCGCCTCTCGGATCTTTGCGATTTAAAACTCGGCGTGGCACTGCAACTTTTATGGATAGGCGTGTCGCTTACCACTAGGCCCACGGCTTATACGTCCCGTCACTTGGTCTCATAAAAAAAATGTCGCCATAGAAATAAGTAGCTACGTAAATACTACTATGACAGCAACAAAACCAGGGGTATAATTCAGGAGTATAGCTATACATGTTGTTCAGAGGCAAAGCTACTCTTTTCTGCATACTTGCTGTTCAATTAAACAGAATCCAATACTGTCAAACCAGAAACAGAACCTCTTTGAAAATTTATTTTTTAAATTTTCTTCAATGCTTCGGTATGTATAAAACAGGCATACATCTTTACGACGTAACTTGTAAAAACATTTTATTTTCCAAAGCAGAGAGTACACGTCTAAGCTGTCACAGCAAAAAGCTTATGGAACTGTCTGGAGTTGGGAAACTTGGGTAAACTTCGACACGTAAGTATCCGTTCCACCCGTCTTCTTAAAACGATTGTTTCCTTTAAAAGATTTTACATTTCGTAAAAGTAAGCTGATTTAAGGAAGCACTTCTTTTTAAACTTCAATTTCGTGTACATATATACCTAAATTTATTAACGAGGTTGTTGTTCTTCGCGATTTCGTCTGCGCATGACACTAACAGTTTAAAGTACGGATTTAACAAATTTTACTTAATAAAACCATTCTCTTAAAATAAACCATCATATTCTAGAAAAAAAACTTGACAAAAGTACTTAAATAAAATTTGTGGAGCAACATTGTTAGCTCAAATTACAGATATAGTCAAGTGAATACAAAAACATCATTAAACAAAAAAATTTAATCACTTATATTTTTCAATCCGAAGGCGAGTAGGTAAAGACTGCTCAAAACTTTATAATGTGATTCAATTTAACATACAAACAGGACTCCCTCCATTTTTGTGCGAGCAAACATATAAATATGCATCGGATAAATATCACAAAAGGTCCGGCTAGAAATGGCGGAGTCTGACGCCAATTAATTTTATAAGTCCGAACTCTTTTATTAAATCACAAAATGTACGACTCACTGAGTACTAGGGATTGGAATAAACAAAAGAGTTAACTCACTCGTTTACTCATTTAGTTTTGTTAACAAGTCGAGTTAAACATTCCACTAAATTGTTATTCGTTAAAAATGTAATCTGAACCTGAAAAAAAATGAAATTACTTGTGTAATAATTATTATTATTGTTCACTTTCCATCTTATATTGATTGTGTCGTATCCATTGTGTAAAGAATTTTATTAGGTATGTGTGTCTTTATTTAGAACGCAGTCATTCATCTTATTAAATTTGATACGATAATATGATTATCTACTCAAACCAATACAAATATATTAGGATAAAAATATAATACAATAGAATACAGTTAATGCGCCTATAAAATTGAAAATTGTGTGCCTGTCTATCTATTTATCTTATTCCCATCATTATGTGCTCATGGAGTGTATGGGAATATGGAGAGTAAAGGTCACTTTTTAACTCCAAGTCACTTGTCTAACTTATATGACTCAGTCACCACGTCCACACCCCTATTCCTGACCAGTCTCACGCAGTTGTGATATGTCAATTTCATAATTAAAATGCATTTGACCGTATTCAGAGGGCCCGTGAGATTAAGAGCGGGCCCAAATTGAATACCCTAGTTAACACTGAACCCCGAAAACAAATGAAGTCATATACAAATTTCAACAAAATGCAATTAAAAAGGTCCATGATGAATAAATTTAATTTGTGGGACTATGGTAACGAGTGACTTAACATACCCACTGAAATCTCATATTTACTTAAAAATTATACTATTACATTATCTAGACTGGACTGATTAGAAATTGCATAATTCTGTGATACAAATCTATATCACAGAATTATAGTAGCCGAATTATTTCACCTACCACCTCTCAAGCAGGGTTGTGGGTTCAAATCCTGGATTACATCTTTGAGTTTCTGGATTTTATGTGCGAGAAATTTAATTTGAAATTTACCATGAGGCAGCTTTTCGGTGAAAGAAATCGTGATTATAACATGAACGTCGAAGAAGTCTCACTACCCTCGGAAAACGTGCGTGCGAAACGTCCCAACTCGCATTAGTTATTGCTTAACTGCTTCTGTGGCCGAACGGTTACCATGCCGGACCGCCACGCTGAGGTCCCAGGTTCGATTCCCGGGCCGGGCGAAATATTCGTATGGCCTACATTTATTTCTCTCGTGAGTTGGTGTGTAATTTGTGGTTATCTAAGTGTGTCCATGGCCTAGTGCGGAACTATGTTGAGTGTGTGCGTTATTATTATTATTATAATTATTGGGCCAGCGTGGCGAGAAGACTCGTACCCAGCTGTGGGACGTATAAATATGTTTTTACTGGTAAGTAATCCATTTTTTTGTGATGAAAACGTATAAACATAATTCACCATTTATAAATTACACAAATGGATAATTACCAAACGCAAATGAAACGACTAGATATAACTGATCTATTACGAAAACTATCTTTCGTATATGTAACTGAATACCACTGTTTCCTGGTGCCGCAAGCGTGGCTCGTATGGCATTCTAGACTTCCTCGATCAACCCAACTAGTTAGTAAATCGAGTCGAGTAAATCGATTAATTATCTAATTAGTAGTAAAATACATTTCCTACGATATTATCAAACTTATATTTGCTACGTACGGAGTTTCATTTTTTATTTATTCATCAATTGTAGTTTTAAAGATTGTAGGAATGTGGTAAAATAACAATAATTAATTATGGTAAAATAAGATATTAATCATAGATTTAGTATATAGGCACTCATAGATTGGCAATGCAAGTGAAAGAGCGTTAGTATACACGTAGGTTAGAGCGAGATGGGTAGACGAGACCACTTCATTATACGCTATGAGCCTGTATGAACCTAGGGTCAGCTGACAACGAAACAAATTTCGTTTATTTTTGAAAAATAATTAGTTTTAAAATGTGAAATAGTGTTAAACGGACGTTTATTAGTCATGGTAACGTGTTCAGTGCCCGGATGTAACTCATCTAAAAAGGAAAACTCGCAGAATTGTACATTTCATCAGTACAGTTCAGTTCATTTCATGTAACTATTTAAATTTTTAGCTGTCTAACAGCACTACCACAAAAGTTTTTTACATAAATATATCCGTAAAATTATACCATTCAAGTGCATTAATAACCCAAATGTATACGAATTCAATTAAAAATATATCAAATACGTGAATTTCTAAAATTCATAACCCCACTTTCATAGATATTGACGCAATCGATAATATGTTATCGAGATGTCATTAACTGAAAAAAAGAAAGGCAAAGGCGTGGCTTGCATACAGCCGAAATCACCTTCATACTTAATATCATTGAATCAGAAATATCTGGTTTTAGTACTATATATTCAATTAATATTGCATTAGTGCATTATTGTTTGTCTACATTAAAACGAAAATTTCTTTTAATAGCGTAGTTGAGGCACCCATTTTTTTGTGTTATTATTGATGTTGATTCAGATTTCCTCAAAACATTAAAGTATGACAGAAATGGCTTATAATGCTAAAGAGAGAAGACTGGGTTCCCAAAAAGTTT